AGATAACTTCTACTATTTGATGAACACACTCTCTCATTGCATCTTTTCGATGTGGGACAAAGTTCAATTCTAATATTTTGTCAAAACCTAACAAAACTGTGTTTGGAGGGTTTGAAAATTCTAACCTGTTGTTCAAGCATGTTGGTTTGTTCAATGAAACTACACATGTTGCCCTTTCGTTTCACTTTCAATTTGTGGTTCTCTGTAAGAATGCACGACATAGTTAGCATTCATTGGCACAGTTATGAGTGTGGAATTTTGACCCTGATCGCATGCATAAATTGTGGTACCAATAGAGATAAAGTTGTGTGGACAATCTTTATATAGTGTGATAAGATAGGACGGACACTCCAAACCCAAGAAGGTGGATGTTGCACACTCTAAAAGAGTAGGGCAGGATGAGCCTATCAAACCCAGCAAAGTAGTCAGATTGCAAAGAGTTCATCTCAAGTCAGATGCTATATATTTTTGTGACAAGATGTAAAACTAGTAGTTTAACCCATTAAAGTACCTACACAGACTCACGCGTGATCAAAATGAGAGAAATTTCTTATTTCCGATCGACGAATTATATAGATGAAACTTTTTTTTCTTTTTTGGCATTAGGATAACTTGTCCTACTAACTAGGTATTATAACTATAATGAATTAATCATTACTTCTCTTGTATAAATACAAATCATGATGTCAATTGTTGATGTATACTGTACATTTTCAAAGGTCTAGCTTTCATTCTTTCTTTGACCAAACTATCCTTTGGTCTAATTTCTCTTCTCTTCTCTTCTCCAATAATTCTAGTCAGGAAGCCAAGTAATTGTTGATGTGGACATTGTAGAAGAAGTCACATCATGCAAACTTTTCAACCCTTAAAAAATTTTAATAGTTTTTCTAATGATTCGAGCATATCTTGTAAATAAAAAAAAAAATACTTATTATCTCTCACCTAAATATTTGTTGAGTTTATCTCCATTCTGATGCTATCTATATAACACAATGATCAAAATAGTAGCTAAACCACTAAAGAACCTACATAGAATCACTCATTATCAAAATGATAGATATTCTTTATTTCTTACCGATCAATAGATGACTTATTTTTGTCGCTCTTCCTATTAACTAGCTATTATAGCTATAATGAATTAATTTTTACTTATATTCTATAAATACAAGTCTGGAGGTGAATGTTGATGTATACTATTTTTCGAAAGTTGAGTTAAGCATTGAAAAGTATTTGGCCATTCTTTCTTTGACCAAAGTATTTCTATCATTCAATAATTATGTTCATGAAGTGCAAGTATTGTTGATGTTGACATTGTAGAGCAAGTCACATCATGCAGCTTTCCAACCCAACTTTAAAAATTAAAAATTAAAAATTAAAAAAGCTTTTCTGGTTTGAGAACATCTGCCTGACATTAATTATTTCTCAGGTTAAAATACTAATTTAGTTCATGTACTTTCAATTCAGTCGAAATGTGTGTAAGTTGGTCTGGACACTTATAGATATTGAAAAAAAAAATTATTTTTGTCACTGTACTCTCAACTTTGTTCATTTTAGTTCGTGTACTTTCAAAATATTCATTTTGGTCTCTATACTTTAAAAATGTTACTATTTTAGTCGCTTAATTTTATTCTTAATCTCATTTTTTCTATCACAATTTGAACATGACACTACAATCGATATGTTTTTTAAAATGTAAACATTATTAGTCTATTAGTGTACTTATCCTTACTTTATACTAAAGAGTTTCCGTTATGTATAAAATTTGTGTTAAAATTTTGCAGACTAAAATGATCAGTTTTTAAAAAATACAGAGACCAAAATGAACATTTTCAAAGTACACGGACTAAAATGAACCAAAATTAAAATACGGAGACAAAGTACAGGAGCCAAAATAATATTTTAACCTACGTTTTAGGCTGAAGGATTGATATCCCACCCTGTGTTTATTAAACTAAGAAAAAGATTTTAAAAAAAGAAAAAAAAAAGTAGAATGGTTTTTGAAATTAGGTTCTTTTATTTTATTTTATCTTGAGTTCAATTTTAGTCCTTTTTTTTTTACTGAGTACCACAAATGGGCTTGGGGAATTTGAACGGTATCTTTGAAAATTTTCATTTATAAATATATATTTATTTTATGCTATTGATATAAACGTCTCTTATATTTATACATACTCCAAACAGGTCATCTAACAATTTTTTTTTTAAGAAAAAAATTACAATTAAATTTAGTTTGACTGCAAAATGAGAACAAAATCTTTAATAAAAATAAATATGGCTAAAAAGGATCAGATTCACTTTTTTTTTTTTCATATTACAGCTAAATTGTAAATATTTAGTGTAAATGAGTCGTATGAATATATGATGATTTCTGTCCAATAATATTTAATCTAAAATAAATAAAGCAAACTGAGAGCCAAAATAAACAATTTGTATGCATGCATGGATCCATAAATTATTATTAATTCTCGGGCAAATTTTAAGAATAAATGTTATTTTAAAAAACGAATTACCAAATAATGTAGACTTTAAAGTAAAATGAAAAAAAATGTAAATTAAATAAAAACTATCAAAATTAAGGTAACTATAAAAATTATTGATAAAAATAGAGTGCGGATCGCATACTGTAGAGTGTAGAGACTGCCACGTCATATTGAAAATCACGTACGTGTGGAAATTGCTATGTTGCCCGCGATTTTAGGTATGCGATTTTCCTTTTTATTTTTTTTATTCAAATTAATATTTATTATGGAAACCACGGATATATCCCTTATTCAGGTAGAGAGCCCTTAGGAGCAAATTTCGTATTTTGAAAATTTATCTAAAATAAATCAACTAAATATTTGTTTTGAAGTTATCTAAAGTAATCGTTTAGTTCAAACCAAATCAAATTATTAACTAATTAAATCGGAATTAAATCTGATTACATTTGAAAGATTTTCTCTCAATATAGTAAAAAAGTAAGAATTTAATTAAATAAATATTCTTAAATCAACAATTAGGTAAAAAGACAAATTTTAAATTTTGTTGATCTTGCTTGGATCACTTTTATTTGATAATTAGATTTAGTGTAACGTTAAATTAAAAGATTACCTCTACATAAATTACATTCCAAAATTACATTCCAAAGATTTCTAAAATAATTTCGAAAACAAATCTTACTAAATTTTTTAAAATAAATTTACTTATATAAAAAATTGAATTTTTAAACTCTAAATAGAAAATAGGTTTAAAAAATACATTATTAAAAAAACCATAAACTTTTAAACTCTAAATTAAAAATTCTAAAAATGAAAATGATATATTTGAGCTTGTATAACTATAAAGGATAAAAGTTAAAAAACTTTAAATAATCTAAAAAAATGCATAGCTAGGGAGAAGGGAGTAATTAATATTTCTTGGCTGCAATTTTATTATCCTATTTTTGAAAATATTTCTACACTAACATTATTTATCATTATTTTTAAAAAAAATCCTTAATTCTCTCGATAAAGATCTAACGATTAAACATTTTTGTTTTTAATTGAGATTTGCATATTTTTAGTTTTGTAATTATCATTACATTTTTACCTAATTCAATAAGAAAATGTTATTTTGAAATTATAATGAAGTGGAAGGGTTTAAAATAAAAAATATAAACTCTTGTTCTGACTAATCGAGCCATCATTAGGGTCAATTTTTCACAGTAAAACCATTCTTATAAAATATATTTTTTTTCTTCAATGACATGATAGAATAATGCACTTTCAAATACAATAGCAATTTTATATTATGTCAATATATTTTTGGGAAAAAAAACTGGAAACATGAAAAGAAAAAAATAATAACAACAACAACGAAAACAAAGAAATTTGGTTTGGTTGTTTTTGAAACTTTTATTTAAAAACAAGAAATATAAACAAATGTTTCTTTTTTAGTACAACAAATGGAAGCAAAGAGATTCAAATTCATGACCATCTTGGTCAGAGATTCAAATTCATGACCCTCTTGGTGAAAAAAATTTTATGGTAGCAACTAACAAGAGAAAAATAAAAATGACAATACATCTAGAAGCTTCCAGAGAAGCAAGTTTACGAGTACTATATAGCATAAAATTTGGTTAAATTCTTATTTTGGTACGTGAACTTTCATACTTATTCTATTTTGGTTCTTAAAAATTTCAAATATTCTATTCTAATCACTCAACTTTCAAATGTCTTGTTTTACTCTTTTAAACAAATTTCACGATCTTCCGCCACTCTGTCTTTGTTTTCTCCTTCCTGTCGGTTAATTATGTAACATAAACTAAACCTGTTTTGAAACCAGAGAAAAATGAACAAACTGCATGAAACTCCAGAACCAAAAGAGGATTTAAACTAAGTTTTCTTATGAACAAACACAGTTTAACTACACCTTCTAACTTTAATTCAAATATCATCATAAGCTTCTCAAATCCCTTTTCTTGACAACTATAATCGTCCCTAATCGGCATTATGAAAAGATAACTGACTCCCTACCGACTATATATGGATGAACCACGTAGAACAGACCATATCGACATATAAAGCATGTTTTCACGTTCAACATTGTCAATAAACAGCAGCAGTTAAGAAGGTAACCCGTACTCAAAATGCCTACTTTTTCTGTTTAAAATGAAAGCCAAGAGCAGAAAAGTATACCTGATCCTTGTAAGCGTGGTTTCGCCTCGGACTGATGATGAGGCAGTAGAGATACAGCTACAGAGTACAGTCTATGTAGTTAAAACAGTTACTCGAAATTCATTCTTATTTCATATCCACCGTGTTCGGAAAAAATGATATAGATCATCTTTTCATTGAACTCTTCATCACATGGTGATGTCAATACATCGCTGCAATATATGGTTAGAGAAAACAAAAGCCTGCATAAAGAGCTAAGTAAAAGAATAACTAACACATCATATTCAAATTTAAATGATTTCACTAATAATATTTTTATAAGCAATTTTAAGAGCCCGGTTGAATTGCAAAGACAGGGAACGGTGGTAACTGTACCAATTACTAGCTATATTCACATAAGGGATGCAATGATACAAGTCTTCAATTGTTGAAATTAGCAATTTAAGAAAACAAGACACCTCAAATTGAGTACATAAATTCTCAAAAAAATGACTATTCAAACCAGAGAGCCAGAAACTTAGATTATTGTACGGCTGTGTGAACAAAAAATATTGTGATATCATCAGAGAAATGTATTTAATATGATGATATCTCCATGTCTTCTCAACTGACAGCTTAATTGATAACCAACAGAAGAACATAGTTGATGAAAAACCGACAATTGACATCTTAGCACTCCAGAACCAGAAAGCTATTTACAGATGAATATAATGCAACATCTATCATATTCCCCTACTGACATTCTCTTTTCTCTCCTCGTTTTGGGAATCTATGTCATCTTGATGAGCTATATCATATGTGGCATGAAGACCAACAAAAAGATAATACAGAAGCATTACTGCACTGCAAATGAAGAACCTTAAGAATGCCGCAATACCCAAAGATCCAATGAGAAGGAGATTCATCCCTATAGACAGTGATGGGAACCAAGGAACAAGAGGAACACCCCAAACCTTGGGGAATCGATACTTGGGAAGCAACGACATGGCCAGCGTGCTAAAAAACCAAAATGTGGCTGGCACGACATATACAATCCATCCTTGCATATTCAAATTCCAAACTACTGCCAATGCTACACAAGAACCCAAAATGATAAACAAGCACACTAGAAACTTGACATATTCGCTTCTTGGTGTCGTGTCCTTAACATAATATCGTCTCACGAGCAACGCAACAGCCATAAGCATAAATATCATTAGTGTGCTGAATGAAAAAACACTTGATAAGACATCCAAACTAGTGAATAGTGCAACAATTGCGCTAGTTAAGGTCGTCAAAAGAGTAGCATAAACAGGGGTTCCGGTTCTCGGGTGAACTAGGGCGAAGAGGGGAGGAATCAGATGGGCTCTAGCAATCTGTGTAGTGTAGCGAGCTTGCCCCATAGATCCCACCAACAAACTTGTAGTCATTCCCTTGATAGCAACTATGCTAACTAAGTATTTAGCCCAAGTCATCCCAATTCTGTCAAATGCAACAGAATAGGCTGCATTTCTATCTATCTCGGTATATTTTTGCAGCATTGTTAATGACAAGGCCATCAAGCAATAGATCACAGAGATCATAGACATAGATCCAATCAAACCCACCGGTATATCCCTTGAAGGTCTCTTGGTTTCCTCAGCCATGGTGGCCACCATATCAAAACCGGTATAAGACCAGTAAACAACTGCTGCAGCTCGGAAAGCACCCTTTGCACCATAAGGAAAAAAGGGCACCAAATTTGCAGAGCTCCCGCGCACAAATCCAACCACAATTACGAACACAATTATGAAACTACTGATCACAGAAGTTATCCATGTCAAGAGAGATGTCCTCCTTGTTCCACTCATTGCAATACCATTAGCAACAAGAAGCACCACAACAGCAATTGGGTCCAAAAGATTAAACCCATCTGAAAAGACACTAACCTTAATCCGAAGAAAATCGGAGTCATTAGTGTTGATCATACTCGCAAAATAGGAAGACCAAGACCGGCCGAGTCCGGCCGCACCAACAATCGCCTCCAAGAAAATATTCCCCGCAGCGATGAACGCAATAAAATCCCCCAATTCGATGCGGAGAAAAGAGAACGAGCCTCCGGCGACGGGAACTTCGACGGCAAATTCAGTGTAACAGAAGACAGAGAGCAATGCGGAGAATCCAGAAATTGCGTAAGAGAGCACAATCGCAGGTCCAGCATGATCGTGGGCTTCTTGGCCGGTGATCGTGAAAATGCCGGAACCAACTACAGAGCCGAAAGCGAGCCAGATCAAATCCCACCAAGTAAGGCATTTCTTCATCCCGATTTCACTGGCCTTGGGAAGTTCGAAGAGCTCATAGGCGTCGGAGGAGCGATCCAAGAGACGGTCCTTGAGGCGAGAACATGTTTGCGAGAGAGCAGATTTGTACGAAGAACAGTTCCGGAATGACTCTTCTGGGAAAAGGTTTTGCTTGCTCCACCTCCGCCAGTAGCTTCTCTGCACCGGCGGCGGCGGCCCTTGTGGCTCCGTCGTGGGAACGTCCATTCCGGCGAGGGTTTGAAGTTTGGTTTGACTGATTGGAAGAGTGTGATTCACTGATTGATGAACAAAAATATCTGATACATATACTACCACATATTGAAATGAAATAATATGATTTTTTTTTTATTTGATTTACCCACCCTATATAGGACGATTCTATTCTTATTTTCAGATTTATCGAATTTATTTGATTCAGTGCGTTATTAAATTTATTTCTAAGAATTGTTTTTGAATTCTATAATTGGTAGAAATTTTGAGAATATGTTTGTAGTGTTTTCAAATTATTAAAAAAAATAAAATATTTGATAAATATATATATATTATTATAAATACAAATAAGTCTCCATCACCCGATTCACCGAATCGCCACATTATTTTGTAGGCCAATTATGTCACATAAATTTCACCCACATGTCATAAATGTGACCTAATTTTTGGTTAAAAACTTTAAGTTCATAAGTAAGGAAGGTCAATAATTAGGAAGGTAATGTAGGGACATTTTTTTTCAATAATGTTTTTCTTTTTAGAACTTTTTCCACCCAACTATTTCCAAGAATAATGTTTAGGAAGAGTTTATATATATGTATAGATAATTTTTTTTTCCACTAAGTCTCAATATGTTGTACAGTGAAGAGACGATCATCCCTGTTAGCCACGTATGGCACGTTTTGTAACTATTTTTGTTTCCAAAATCTTCTTTAAACTCATGCGTGGCACCCAAGATTTTATTATTTAAATTTAACTCTAACAAAATCTTAAAACAACCCCGTTGTTAAAAAAAATCTATTTTAAAACCAAACTTTAAATAAACTAAACTAACAAAATTTAGCAAAATCTTGAAATAAATCAATTTTAAAAATTAATTTAACTAATCAAGCCTTCAAAATATAAATTAAATCTATCACAAAACAAATTATATCAAATGATGTTTCTCATAAATACTAATGAATAAGCAGAACAATGATGAAAAATTGTTATGTAGAGAGAACTCAAACCTGAATGTCATAAACAGAATATGAAATTTCACCAGAGTGGTGAAAGGAAAACGAGCAGTAAATGATTGATCAGTTGAAAATCGATGACTCAACCTTTTATTGGGTTGAATAAGCTATAATCAAACATCTTATTGGGTTGAATAAGCTATAATCCAAGATACCATATGGTATAATCTTTTTTTAATTAGATTTAAGATTTAAAATTTTTAATAATAATTAAATAAATTAGTTTTTTATTGATCGGTTTTTTGAGATTTTGTTAAATTTTTTTAGTTAAATTTAATTTAAGGTATTTTTTTTTAATCGACATGATCGATTTCTTTTAAGATTTGTTAGATTTTTTAGTTAGATTCAATTTAACATTTGTTTTGAAAATTAAATTTCTTAATAATTGGTTTGTTAAAATTTTGTTAGATTTTTTAGTACATCAGTTAAATAGATTTTGAAAAAGAAAAAAAAAACAAGTAGCATATTGAAAGAGACGACATATAAGACGTGGCTAAAATGTAGAGATAGTCTGTCCCATCACGAGATTGTCTAGGTAAGAAACAACAAACTATTTCCAAGCATTATTCTTGGAATATATTATATGCTATACTCGCTTTAGCTTTTTTTTTTTTTCTCTCTTTGTGATCGAGTTTAGGTATTTCCATGACAATATTTTGAAATGATTTGTACGTTCAATTATGTATGTTTTTTTATTACAAAATATGTGGGGCAGGAATTTGAATCCAAGATTTTCTGGTTAGGGATATATGTCTTAACTAGCTGAACTATTCTCAAGTCCTAGTTAGTTATAGACAATTTTCTATTTTAGTTTTTAGAGAGTATTAATTGCAACACATATTCAAGTTTGAGATCTAATAGGATGAAATTAATAGTTTAATTTTAAAATGGCTAAATATATCTTCTAAGACCATGATGTTTGGGTTTTTATTCAATTTAATTATGAGATAAAGTAGCTATTTTGGAAACTTATTTTCACAAATGTCAAGTATTTACCAATTTTACGGTCTTAGATTGATGGATATAAAACTTTTTTCAAATACCTATCCTTATTCATGACATTTATATTTATTATAATTAGTTTTTAATTTCAATATAAAAAATTAATATTTCAAATTTGATTTTGTAAACATTAAATTATCATGGACCTAAATCAATCATTCACATAATCCACTAATTTACTCTTTAATATATTCTAGTGAAGAATGAAATTTATTACAAAATATTCAATTATTCTCATAATCCCCAAATTTACTCCTTAATATATTATCCTAAATAATGAAATTTATTACAAAATATTTTTTCATTTTTGGTCAAATTTCAATACTATAGCCACTATAATATACACTAATACAAATATAATATATATATATATGTATATATATATATATAAACTATATTCGACTACCTTTTCATTTATATGAAAATATAAACTATATCTGACTATAACCTTAAGCAACGTACACTTAACAATTGTGACATAAACTATACTCATTATAACACACGCTTATACGGAGAAAATAAAAATCACATTCACGGCCGTAGTAGAATGTGCAATCAGCAATGCGTGGGAAAGAGAAAAATGAGAGTCTAAATAAGAGGATTGAAAAAATAAAATAAATAAATAAATATGGAAAGTGCGGTCGTCACTGCTAACGTGCGCGTGTGTGAGGCGGTGAGACAATACTTTTTTTAAAAATAATAACAATGAATAGAAATTAATCTTTTTTACTACGTTAACTTGATTTTGTCAATCTAAAGTCATACTACATATTATTGTATTAAAAAATGCTCGTAGATTTTAACAAAAAAATGCAACGCCAAAATTTCAAAATTCATTAGACCTTACTTAAAATTGAGATTAATGCACATGTTTGATTATTAAATAAAATTAAAAAAAATTGTAACACTTATTTTGAAAATTTATGATAAAAACTCATACACCTGACTATTATAAAGATAAAAAATGAATTTCTCCTAAAATTTATAATTAAATTATGGTAGGTTGGGTTAGATAACTTGAGTCCACTTTTTAATTCATTCTATTTCCATCCGTAAAATTTTAAAGTGTCTATTTTAATTATAAAATATTTTAAAAAATAACTATTTTGGTTCTTAAATTTTAATATTGGTCTATTTCAACCATTAAATTAGAAAAAAAAAACTAACAATTTTAGTCATTGTTATATTATTTTGTCATCTAACATCCCTTACCTAATTCTTATCTTGACCTACATAGTTCGAATGAACGCTTACATTAAACATAGTTGTTAAAATAATAATTAAAAAAAGTAAGAATATAAGTGATTAATTAATTTTTTTTATATAGTTCAAAGATTTATATAGATATCTTGAAAGTTTAGAAATTAAAATAAAACAAACTTAAAATTCAAAGAACAAAAATTAAAATAGAATTATATTTAAATTTCAAGGACCAAAATCTAACTCAATCTAATTTCATTTCAAGATAGTTCAAATGAAAAAAAAATACTTATTATCATCGCTAATATCAATAATTGATCCTCACTCAAACTCAAAAAAAAAAAAAAAAAAAGACACCCAATGATCAATATAACTCAAATTAATTTTAAATTCAATGTGAAATGAATTAGGTTGAGCTGTACGTGTTGTTCAAGTAGTCGATTTTTGGGAACACCCATTTTGACAAATCTAAGGGCATTCGGCCCAATTTTCTCCATTCAATTCGGCTATAAAAGGGATTAAAACCTCAGTAGATCGTTGGGTCTCGTCGCGCCGCCGCCACTTCTTCATCTCTTCTCTCCGTCGCGCATTCGGTGGTACGAAAGCTACTTTCTGTCTTTGCTACGTAATCTTCATTTTGATGGCAATTTCGATTTTTGTTGGTTTTTGAACGCAAAACTAACCATTATTTGTGCTCATGTTGCCCCTTGGGAAAATCGTAGATTAGTTTTGAGCAAAGAAAGATTCATGGGTTGGGTTGAGGTATAAGGTTCCATTTGATGTGGAGCATTTTCGGGTAATCTGTACTGTAAGATTAATGAAGATGGTAGTGGGGAAATTAATCAAACGTTTTGTTCTTAAAGTGATAAAGAGGATGTGGGAAAAGAATTTGTATGATGGCATTTACTTTGGCCTCTGTTTCGTAAATTGAAGGGAGGACCGTGAAGAATCAAATTGGCTGATCTGGTGCAACTCATGACTGCCCAGATTTATACTGCAGGTGGTCTATAATCACCTGGACATGATGTTTGCCTTACTCATCTGAGTTTCTTCCCAAGACGACAATAAACTTGATAGTTGATGCTTTTATATATATGTGGGTTTTAGCTTTAGCCAACCGAATTTCTTCATATATGCTCCTTGACCTTAACACGGGGATTTGAATTATGATGCACTATAGAGTTAACTTAGAACTGAATCAGGGCATCATATTAAGATAGTAAAGGTTGGCTGGTGAGTTGATTTTGTTGTGAGTTTGGGGCTCTATTCGACTCCGTTAAGTGTCAATCATGTGTCAAAATAGTTGCAATAGTGTTATTTTGGTTGCGTCTGTGTCATGAAATTAAGGACAGAGTAAAAGATGATGATTAAAGCAGGTACTTATGATAATCTGACGTATCTTACTGTTCTCCTGGTGCTGCTCAGTGTAGTTGTGCCGAGTTTCAAGGATACGTCTGTATGATTTACAAGACTGCTGTCTGATTCATTCTCTGTTCATTATATCTTATGATTAATGGCCTTTGTCAACCAAATGTAGTAGGGTCAGGCGGTTGGCTTGTGAATAGTCGAGGTGCGCGCAAGCTGGCCCGAACACACGGACATAAAAAAAAAATATATATATATATATATCTTATGGTTAATGGCAGAGAAACTGGCCTGCCGCTTTCTATACAATTTTGGTTGATAATAGCTTTAATGACCCAACATGAAAAGTTTAGTTGATTCTAAGTTACATCTAGATCAAAATTCCCAAGCTGGATTTTGTGTTCACCTCTTATCTAAGTAATGAGGTTATAGTAGATGCAGTATTTTGATGTTCATGAGATTTAGGAGCAATTTAATTTTGTCATCTACTTTTGGGCATTTGCCAGTGAACCTTTTTGTGATATTGTTTCATCTTTTTACAACCACACAGGTCAAGTTCAGTTCAAGCGCACTCACAATGGGGAGAAGACCTGCTAGGTGTTACCGACAAATTAAAAACAAACCATACCCTAAGTCACGATTTTGTCGTGGTGTCCCCGATCCTAAGATCAGGATCTATGATGTTGGAATGAAAAAGAAAGGAGTTGATGAATTTCCATTCTGCGTCCACCTCGTGAGTTGGGAGAAAGAAAATGTGTCAAGTGAGGCTTTGGAAGCAGCCAGGATTGCCTGCAATAAGTATATGGCTAAGTTTGCTGGGAAGGATGCGTTCCATTTGAGGGTCAGGGTGCACCCCTTCCATGTTCTGCGAATTAACAAGATGCTGTCATGTGCTGGGGCTGATAGGCTCCAAACTGGCATGAGAGGTGCATTCGGCAAACCACAAGGAACCTGCGCGAGAGTGGCCATCGGTCAGGTGCTCCTCTCAGTTCGCTGCAAGGACAGCAACAGTCAGCATGCTCAGGAGGCCCTCCGCCGGGCTAAGTTCAAGTTCCCTGGTCGTCAGAAGATCATTGTTAGCAGGAAGTGGGGATTCACGAAATTCAGCCGAGCTGATTATCTGAATTACAAGGCAGAGAACAAGATTCTTCCCGATGGTGTTAACGCGAAACTTCTTGGATGCCATGGGCCTCTAGCAAACCGGCAGCCTGGAAGAGCTTTTCTACCTCAAACTGCCTAAAGACAGTTGTTTTCTTGTTTAATTCAACTCGGAATCAATGCTGACAGTATTACCATTGATCTGTTTGAACTTCTGTGAAATTTCCCCATTTGATACTCTTTTATTTTTTACTATAGAAGATTGGAGTTTGCTTTTGAAATCTCTCTATCTAGTCTCCAATGATTATACTGGGGAAATATAGTTCTCCTTTATTGTTTTTCTTATCTCTTTTATTGTCATGATATAACTGGTTGTTGCTGGAAGAGAAGGTGGATTTTGTGTAAAAAATGTCAGATAATCTATTCAACTGGACCAACCGGTAGTTCCTCAACAACAACTTAACTTGGTTGATATTTTACGAGAAATTAAGTGGGAAGAAGTAATATTGTGAAGATTTTCAGATTCGAAGTAACTTCTTCGGGAGAAAGTTCTTCTTGAATTCTTGCGTGGTCAAATGTTATATAGATAAGTGTTTTTACCTACGAATTTAGGAGGAACTTCTTCCTCAATTTTTAAGAAGAAAGTTTATCCAGATTCGGAATTTGAAGAACTGATTTTATATGCTGATTTTGCAATTTGTCTTTCATGATGTTGTGCCTGTGTTGGGTTTGTGGCTATTGTAATTATATCTTCTTTGAGAAGAGCTTATTCTAATTTTCCAGAAAAGATAGTTGACGTAGCCATGCAACCATGGGACGTCGAATGAAATCTCTACGTGTTTCGAGTCTAAGCTAAAAAGATTATTTTTTCTTTTCCTCTCTTTTACAAACATGTATTTTTTATCACAATTCAGGTTAGATTTTCTATTTTGCTTTGTGTGTCTTGCTTATTAGTTTTTTCTTACCTTTTTTTTATATTTCAATTTCGATAAAAAGATCCACAAAATTAATTGTTTGGTGGTTTGACACATTTAAATCTCTTTTTATTTTATTGTGTTTTAGTATGATATTTGTTTAGTTTAATTCCTTTTAATGGGCTATTAGAAGGTAGTGGCAGTGGCGCAATAATAAGAAATAAAATAAATGGACAAATTATAAGAAAATTTTAGCTAATTACAAATACAAGATACATCATTGTGCTAATCCTTTTTCAATTTCAAAAATGATAAATTTTAATTTATTAAAAAAAATTCGGTCCCTGGCCGCTCTCCTCCATCTATTTTAAGTTCAAGGCCTGTTACCCTTTCAATGACAAACCCTAGCCGCTCCCCATCTCTCCGGCGCCGCCGCCGCCCCGCTCTCGCCCTTAGTACCGCCGCCACTCCCTCCCTCTACTCCCCCTTCCTGCCCTATATATTGCGCCGCCGCATCGTTGTTCTTCTTCCTCTCTCGATCTGAGGTACTGTTCTCAAGCTATATCTTTGTCTTTCAAGTTTCGGACGTCATTGTTGTATGATTATATCTTCTAAATCGATGGGATTAGAATCGAGAATGCCTACATTTTCATTATTCTCTCGCTTCTAAAACATCGAGATTCGTCCGTAATCGAACAGGCATCAATCTTTGAACTTTCATGGCTTCCGTTGTGGATCTAAGCCCTAACCGCTCACCACTCGAAACCATATCCGTCTGAAATCTTCCCTCCCTTTCTGTTTCCCGCTTTATATTTCCTCACCAACTCCCCTCGCTTCAACCTTCCCCCCGATCAATGCCGGTGTCACTCGAAACAATCCGGGTTAGATCTCGTGTGCCCTAACCCTAATCTTGAACCACGTCCAAATCTGCAGTCCTTTGGGTTAAATGTTATCTCCTCCTAACATTGTATCTTAGGGCTTCCCGATTTTTCAATCATGACTATCTTCTTCAATTTTTGTTCGATTTAGGTAAGTTATTGAAAACAGAACAATATATTATTCCGTTTTCAATAACTGTACCCCACAATGAACCCCGAGTCCCCTGTATCTAGGTAGTCATGATGGAAACATTCTAAGATTGTGTAAATTGACGTCTTCATATATTATTACCCCTTGAGCGAACGTTTATGCATTGTTACATTTTTTTAACAATTATGCATTTCTGACAATTTATGCATTGCTGCATTTTTGTAATGGCTGCTGTCGCTGCTCATTTGTTGATTTGACTGTGTTTGTCCAATCAATGAATTAAATCGCATTGGGACGGTTCTCCCTCATGTATCGGTCATGTTAGGTTCTAATAATCCATGAAATCAAACTGATCGCTTCGGTTAATTTGGCTAAATTTTTATTTTTTTTTTTGAATACAAATTTGGCTAAAATTAAAAATGAATCAAACTGATTCATTCACTTATCAACAATCTCCTCTAAAAATTCGTTGCCCTGATGTAAAAGAGTTGCCTTTGAATGGTAATTGCCTCATTATAACAGTCTCTTTTGAAACATTTATTAACTTTATATAATGGTTGGTTGTCTGGATATAATAGTTGCGCATTTTGTTTCCTTGCATGGAAATGTATTGGGTTTCACTTGGAAAATATTTTTTTGTTCTTATTTACAAATGTAGGTAAATTTTACTAATTTTGTTTTCTATTTTGTTACATTTTTATTTTTAACCTTTTCATTTATTCTTCTTTTAGTATTTTTTGTTTACTTTGCTTTCTCGTATAGTCTCTAGCATTGGCCATTTCTTTTCCTTTTAATTATTTATTTATTTTCTTTTGATTAATTGTTTCCCCCAAAATATCAGTTGGCTTGATGTAATGGATGGTTGCCTTAGGTAAATTGGTGTAAGAATTGCCTGTGAGAGAACAAAGCGTCTCCAAAAAAAGTGGCGTTGTTGTTCCGTTGCGGGCATAGAACAAATTTTCGATTCCTTCCTCTAATTTTGATTTGTAAGTTTGATTCTTTGTCAAACAATTTGCAGTTTCGAGGAGGAAGGATTACATTCATTTCTAAAATGATGCCTCAAGATAGTAGTGTCTTGAATTATTGGTTGTCTTGGTATAGTGGTTGCCTCGATACGATGGTTGGTTGGCTTGGTAAATTGATGCCCTTGTACAAGTTGTTTGCCTTGGAAAATTTTTTGCCTAGATATCAAAGATACCTCAATATATTACTGTTGCTTCCATGTAATAGATATGGTTGCCTTGGTTTAATAATTGCCCCGATGTAGAAGACACTTCGTTTTCTTTTTCTTTTAAATTTTTATGATTTTTTTTTAAATTGTTGCCTCGAAATAACAAGGTTGCCTTAGCTAAAATGATGTAAGAATTGCCAATGAGAGACAAAGCGTCACAAACAAAAAAATGGCGTTGTTGTTCCGTTGCGGGCATAGAACAATTCTTTGATTCTTTCCTCTAATTTTCGATTTGTATGTTTGATTCTTTGTCAAACAATTTGCAGTTTTAAGGAGGAAGGATTACATTCATTTCTAAAATGATGAGATAATAGTTGTCTTGCTATAGTGGTTGCCTCAGTACGATGGTTGGTTGGTTTGGTAAAATTGATGCCCCGGTACAAGTTGTTTGCCATGAAAAAATTGTTGCCTAGATATGAAAGATACCTCAAATTATTATTGTTGCCTCCATGTAATAGATATGGTTGCCTGGGTTAAATAATTGCCCCGATATAGAAGACGCTTTGTTCCATTTTCTTTTAAAATTTTATGATTGTTTTTTAATTGTTGCCTCAAAATATCAGCTGGCTTGATGTAATGGATGGCCTTGGGTAAAATGATGTTTAAGAATAGCCTATGTGGAAACAGCAATTGTTCTGTTGCGCCCATATAACTATTTTCGATTCCTTCCTCTAATATTTGATTTGTAAGTTAGATTCTCTGTCAAACGACTTGCAGTTTCGATGAGAAAGGATTACATTTGTTTCTAAAATGTTGCCGTTATCTCCAGATATTGATTTGATTGTAATGGTTGCCTCAGTATGATGATTGGGTTGTCTTGTTAAAATCGATGCCTCGGTACAAGATTGTCCTGAAACAATTGTTACCTTGATATAATAGATGCCTTAAAGTATTGGGTTTCCTCGATGCAATAGATAGTTGCATTTGTAAAATAATTGACCCCCATGGAGCTTCTTCAAATTAGTGGGTTCGGCCGATTTGCCATAATTGACAACTTTTGAGGATTATTTGCCACGCCTCCACTCGACACACAATATGGCTCAGGTATTCGATTTGTGGTAGTTCGAATTGGCAATGCTTAGCAATGGCCACAACTGATGCTCATCGAGAGCTTGTAAAACAGTAGCCAAATGGTCCCATCATCATGGAGAGAAGAAGAGAAGTCCATAACACGTTATTCATCCATGATTGGAAGGTTGAAGGAGCACTGCGAAAGGCAAATGGCACCAGTAAGAACTTGTAGTGCCCTTCATGAGTTTGAGAAAAACGTGGTTCTACATAATTTGTAAAAAACTCTTCAACAACAGGGGACAGGAAATTGATCAGGTACTGCACCCATAGGTAATTGCTTCTAAATATTTTTTATCTCGAAATGATGATTGTTTCAAAATATTAGGTAATCCCAATATAACAATTGTCTTCGAATCTTTGTTCACAAAATAACACATGTTTTTTATATATTACATGTTTTGAATATGTTGGTAAATATTTGTTGGCTTGATGTTATATGGCTGGTTCGAAATCATATTCTTTTCTTTCTATTTGAATACATTGGTGTCATAATTGATGGGATTGAGGGTGTTGTGATCTTGGTGAAGGTGTTTAGTAGGCTAAAATTTGTTCATATTCATAGTTGTTCATTTTGAATTGGCAACCCTTTTTAATCGGTCAATTGTACAATTTTTTATCATTTTTCTATTCTTTGGAACATTTGTTTTCCTTCGTGGATTGTGATGGTGGCGTGCGGTCACCATTCTTCTAATATAACTTTTAGTGATCCTATTTCTTTTTAGTGTAGTATTTATTTGTTTAATAGAAATCATTTTCTCTATAGATGTGGTGATGAGATTAGATTTTTTACCAGGGGAAGAGTAAGATTTTTTAACCATTGAATTATACTCAAATGGCCTATCTCCAATTATTATTGGTTGTACTTAATTTAATTGATTATCTTAAATGTTAAATCCTTCGTCTTGACATAACATTTATTTTTAAATAACTTTTTATTCGATATATTGATTGCTTAAAAATATTGATACTTTCAATTTAATATGCTTCTGAAATTTTAGTATCCTTTGATCGATGTCTTGGTATACTTGTTGTTTTTACTAAATATTAATGGTATATTTGTTGCCTTTACTAAATATTAATTTTCTTGTCTCAAAATATTTGTTACCTTAATATAAGAGTTTCCTTAAATATTGAGTGCTTCAACTTAGAAGTTGCCTCAATATG